AAAAATCCTTTTTAATCCATTCTTTGTTAATTGTAAGTTCTTCCTTTTGAATTACATTGACATTAAAGTCTCAATCTGAAGGAGTTGGTTCCTGTTCTTCTATTTCAGAAGAACTTGGAGTTTCAACTCTATAGACGGGTTGTTGAACCTGGTTTGTTCTATTCAATCTGTCTATGACAGTTCGTCTATGAGACTTTCATGTTCAGATTGTGGGACCGAAGAAGTTGAACTTCTTGGAAGATCCCTGAGACTGGATTCAGCTATTCTAAGTGTGGTTTTCCTGGAGGATGGAAATCTAATTTCTATTTCCCCATCAGAATATTCAATTATTTGTTCAGGATCTTTGTTTTCTGGAGCTTTAATTTGCGCTTCTGATTGCAAAGACCATCTTTCAGGTAATTTTACCTGTGACCATGCAATAGACTTGGGTATTACAAGGTTTGATTTGTCCATGTTTGTTTGGAAAAATATTGTTTGACCTTTAGAGTCCATTTGTCTCGCATTTGGACATAAGGTATTCATTACCTTGTAACATATTCGGTAAACAAAAGCTAAGTTTTGTGAACCTGGGTCCATGTCAAAACCTTGAGTTTGAAGGTTTAGAGTTAGGACTTTTAAGAGGTTTGGGTCTGTTAGGGCCACTGAAAAGTTTGTAAAACAGTTGAAGTAAATAGGCCCGTTACAGAGATTCGGGGATCAGTGAATCGCTTATGTCTGCTGTCCCTTAAGCAGAGTAGGATAGAATTGTTTAGTCCTGTTCTGGTTAAAGGTTTTACAGCTATTTGGACAATGCCAGTATGTAAATATTTATATTCCTTTCTCTTATGATCTTCAATCATTCTAGGAGCAAGTAGTTGGAATTTATCCTGGGTTTCCATGACAGAAATACTTTGTTCTATGGTTTTAATAGAGAAGCTAGTCTTAAATTCAAAAGATCCTTTACTATAAATATCTGAAACGGGAACCTTAGGTATGTTCCAGTTTGTATTTATTTTTCTATGTTATCTGTTATTATCCCTTCACGGTTGTTCACACGTAATGTATTTAGCTGACCTCTACTAGATAGAGTTCTAATAAAGTTTGCCATCATAATTCGAGTCAATCGGAAACAGTCCCTACACTTTTCACGGCTCTTTCTCGGCCTTTAGTGATCATTGGGTCACGACGACTTTGAACTTACTACTGCAATACTTTTAGAATCCTATATCATAGTTCAGTTTTCTACTAGTATTACAGTTATACCACTGTATATATAACTTGTGGAAATCCCACTAACCTCTTAGCCAACCAGTGAATCCACAAATTATTGCTTTGACTAATATTACAGTTATACCACTGTATATATGGAAAAAGCTGAGGCAGCCACTAGCTCATATGAACATATGAGCCCAACGGCCCAGATTGAATCTGGGCCGATTTGACGGTCACGGATGTCCGATATTTTTTTTTCTACAAATCCAAATCACTTGAAATTTTAGGTGTGTGTTCATCAAAAATAGGTGAATCTTCGAAAAATATCAAAAAAAAATTTTACATGAAATAAATTGACCAAAATACCCCCAAAAAGTTTTGGGGGGTATTTTGGTCATTTTGTTTTTCACGAATAATTTTTTTCATATTTTTAACTATTTTTATTAGGTGCGCCTTGATGAGAAGAGCACACATATGA